TGTCAGATCTGACGAGATTTTCTCAGTTTATTGGAGTCATCCTGGTTACCGCCTGCCCTCAATCTTTGCGTTCAGTATTCTCTCGCCACTTGACCATCGTCTATTCGCTAGCTACGGCCCCACCATCTTAAATGGCTTGCTTGCAGCCAGTGGGCCATTTTAGCTGAATATTCTAATCTGTCGCACACCACCGCATTTGACACCAATTCTTGGCACTTAATTCCAAATACTGATCATGGAATCTTCGCTTTCATCGATACCATGCTTCAGTTTTCAGTTTTGTTGAGTGCTGCCGTCTACAAGCCATGGAGAAAGATGTTCAGATTGCACGGCCTGTGTCTTCATAGCTTGGAGTCCTTGCCTACATCGCTGTGTTTCCAGACCTCAAATGACCTGGTACTGGCTGCTAATCCGAACGCACAGAGCTTCATTTGCCATTCATTCGTCTGCAGTGAATTAACTCCAAGGGTGTAGATGATTTGATTCCTTCATTACAACCTCAGTGTCAAGGGCCAGACAGACATTAGCCCGAGTTCTACCGATTTTCAGCATAAAATGAGAAGCTTATGCGAAACAAAATTTTGGATGTTGCGGATGCTGCTTGACACGTGTACGGGGCATACAGTGGGATAAAACCGCTGGAGATACAATAAAATAACACTGAGAAGAAGACAAGAAAAACAATTCTTCATAGCTATGGTATAAAAGCATTACAATAGTACGTTCAAAACAGTACTCATTATACATGATCATTTGAACATTAATGTCTAGATTAAAAAGATAAGTTCTTATTTCCTTAAGGTGTTGAAAAAAAATGTATCAAAAAGGGAATAAATGATCTTTTGCTCGATTTTTGATACGAGAATATGTTGAGGACCTATATATAGAGCATGAGGCTACACGTTCTACGAGGACTTCAATAGGATTCCTTGAATTCGATAGTGTAGAGTGACAACGAGGGCTAGAAGCGCTGGCTGAGCGATTGGTGTAAGCTGAGAAAGCCAATTGCCTCCTGGTTGATTCGCCTGGTTTCACTTTCTAGGTCTGAATCGGTCATGACCTAAAACGTCAGAGAATCGGTTTATAATAAATCTATAATGCGATATTAAACATTTTTGGGGTCATTTCCTAAAAAATTTCTGACACTTTCATTTCGACTGTCGTATAAAACGCTTTGTTTATTTAACACACGTTATTATACAGTGCGTATGACAAGACAAAGGATTTGTGTACTTTCCGTATTAGCATGAGACAGAGGTATTTCTCTGACCTTGCTGAAAATGAGGAAAATTCCATTTCTTCGGATATTCTTTTTGTCGATGAGGGTTAGCGGTTTGTCTTGCCTGAAAAGCCGCCGTTTCAACTGATCAAAGAGCACGTGGCGAAGTAGATTTTGTACCCCTTCACAGTGATAACATAGAGAACAAGGAGTTGCTAGCAATCTTCCGGTATTGTCAGATTGCGCATGTCCAATGTACCGGTGAATTTGGGCACCCAACTCTTGTGACTGAGATCGAATATAGCCATTTAACGGATTTATGCAGGCATATTCAGTCAGTACCAAATTTTTAAAAATTCATTAACACTTTTAAATTAGTCCCTTGGATCTTTACATTTACTCTTCATGTATGATACACTATATAACGTAAAATTAATATTATCCTCGATGACCGTTTAGAACAGCAGTATATATACTAGGTATAGTAAGCCTCTTCGAATGTCGTACAATGCTATAGCCGAACGAATTGTGACATTTTCACTTGGTCCTCCAACGGCCGTTGCTTAGTCATAGCCAGTTGGAATTAATGGCCTGTTGAGAAGGTCTCCTATCTACCTAGAAGCAGGGGAATAGTGTGATTGCCCTGTGCAAATCCGGTGAAGGGATAGGATTTTCTTCTGAACAGCTGCATCGAGCGGCACCTTAGAATGTCAGGATGATTAGGGGTACAAAAACAACTTAATGCCAGTTTTATTTATTTAATTTATTAATTATCTGATCAGATGGATCAAGGCGAACAGCGGCTTCAAAGTGAAAGCATAATCGCATGCCTTCTTTGTCCTGGCAAGACCAGTGTGGGACATAATGTTGTCCATTTACATGCCATCGATTGTGAGACGTTTCTGTGCTAGTTTCACCAAAGAAAAGTGGGCTGAATTCATTGCACAAGAGAATTAGCAATTTAATGCGCAAATTTTACGCCACATATTTGAAATGCAAGGGTACACTACAATCCATTGCACCACTTCGCCACTGCATAATCAACATGTTTCCATGCCGGTTGTAAGCTCCAAATTATTTGCAATCACATTGGAATGTTTGAGGACCAGAGTAATGGTTTACTGTCCATGAGCTGATAATGTTCCCGCCATTGAGGACCACATGCCTAGAACTCCTTTTTCCGCTAAACAGGCATTTTAGGTGCTTCATTCAAGCAGCAGACCTTCAGATTTCTAAGAATAAGCACGTATAACACCCTCAAGTCCAGATTATAAGGCGTGTTGCACCGCTTCCATACTAATGGTTTTCTACTGGGAGGGGACATTTAAGCAGGCTATGACTCCATGGTATTTTGGCACTAATTATGCCGGATCATCTTCGAGGAAAGGGGCTATGTGTTATCTGATATACTCTGGCGTAGAACTTACTTTGATGTGTACGAGGAAGCATATAAGAAGTGCTGTCTGCTAAAACATCATTCATAATGAGCACGAGGTGGCTGTAGCGAGCAAAATGACGCGAGATTTGTCTGGCACTGCGGGGGGGGGGAGGACTCAAACAGTATAGAATGATTGCCTGCTTAAATGCCCTGTATGCAACTAGGAGCAAGTGGAGGGCGCAGCAGCGATGAAATTTAGTCTTCTGGGTAATGCTCTGTTCAAGTACGAAATAGTACGCTTCTTTACTTCACTGTTTTTGCCACTGGTGTTAAATCGCTTGCTGCTGCGACCGTTTACCAGATGTTCGTAGCTTCCACATCTGTTGAATAGGTAATAGGTCAGATTATAAACGGTTTTTCTGTGATATATCCTTCGTTTTTGAAACAATAGACTCCGATTCATTCATTCAGTCACCTTTAAATCCCTCTACCAGGCTCACGGAAATAGCTGTCCCAGAAGACCGGTGAGATTAGTGGTCAGAATTCAAGGGCACGACGGTAGAAGAGCCCTGTAATTAAGCCATCTGATCAGTGGCCTACCCCATGTGTCATGCGGGTTTTCGAAGCAAGTTGGCCTTGCGAGTTTTCCGGTGGTACTTTCAGAAATAGGTATGTGGTAAAAAAAAACCATTACTAACTAAACTGCGACTATTTTGTCGATGGATCCACTTTAAAACCAAATCACAGAAACTCATTGACCTTTATGTGCATTCACAAAACGAAATTATTACTGTATTTCAATTTAGCTCTTCTCATTATCAGAAGAATCAGTGTTTGGTAATGACTAACACAAGACAACTTCAGATACTTCGTGATGCCAAGATGCCACAGTAGAATGCGATGCGTCGCAGCTGATTTGCATCAATAAATTAATATAAGGGGAAATTGTAATTATGCTCTGAACTTCGACAGACTACGGGTATCGTCCGCATTCTGGAATGCTTAACTAAGGATCGTGTTTCACAATGAACCGTCAGCTGTCATGTTAATGAGCAGAGCAGTTTCGAATTACTGAGTAATTAGAGAAATTTAGAGATATTATGGTATTTATGCAGAAAACTAAAACTTACCGTACAAATGAGGTCGTTGCTAAAGCCACAATTACTGTTGTTGGACGAGTTAGACGTTAATCCTTAAAGGCACAGAAAACAGTAACTCCGTGGTCACAAAATTTCACATGAAATTCGGTTTGCTTTGCAAAAATACTGAACATTAATAATTTTTTATATGTATTTATGAGAAAAAAACAAGTATTCAAAACACAATAGACTTGAATCAAAATTGCAGTCAACCAGATGTAAAAAGAGACAGAAAAGTTCGACCAAATATCACAGATATCGTAACAGTTGCTAAAACAAGCGTGATTTAATGTGATGGCAACAAACGAATGCTGTGAGTCTGCTGGAAGCGGTGACGGTTATGAAGAGAAGAATAGAAGCAGGAGCTGGCCGTGATGAAAGCAACTGTCGTTTGCACGTCTGGAGGCGAAGAAGGAGGGCGTTTGATGAACATCGAGAAGCAGCAAGACGAAGAGAAGCAGATGAGACGCCAAGATCAATATGGTGCTTGAATGTGTACGCTGACAACCGACCAGTGTTGAACGAAGGAAGAGGGGGTAGAGACGACTGTCG